TTTGCATTTTCAATATTTTCATATTTTAAAAAACCATCCAAGTCTATAACTTCCATTTCTTTTTTAACAATTATAACTTCATCATCCAAATCACTCAAATCCATCAAATTATCCCCAAAATTCCAACCAATTCCGATTGTTTGACCCTCTTCTATATTAGTACCATTTTGAAATGAAGAATGACAAATTTGTTTTGTTATTTCCATTTGTGAATTTGTTAAACATTTTTCGCAATTTTCTTTAATTTCATTTGTAGTTGTGGTATCTCTTCTGTAATCATTTGGATCATAATAACCCCAAGATTGCCAAGATTTTGAATGATATGTATTGTCAATAATTGGGTTAAAACTATTTTCTAATTGAATTTGAGTCCCAACACAACATTTGCATTCATCATCATATTGATTTTTTTGATGAATTAAGTCGATTGTTGATTCATCAATTTCTCGAGGTAATATGAGTTTCGGACTTGTATTTTTATCAATATCGTTACAACATTTTATTGTTGAAATTTGTGAAAACATATATTCACTTTTTGAACACTCACTTTTCAACTTTTCTTCATTATAATAATCACATTCTTCCATTATATTATTTTTCTGAATTGCAAAAGTGTCAGAAATATCAGGAATGATTTTGTGTTCAAATTGGTAGTTATTTTTTCCTTCATTATAACGATACAATTCTTTTTCTTGACGTTTTTCTTGAAAAAAGCGTTCACAATTTGTAAAGGACTTTTCATTTTTAATCGTAAATGGGTCATACGTCAAAACATGAAGTACATCATTTCTGGATATAAAATTTACAGTACTTTGTGAGTTATTATCATTATAACTAAACACAAATTCTTCGTCAGGGATCGGTACTTCAATTCGAACAATTTTATTGTTTAAGTTGTCGTCGTTCTCAAAGCGAAACCCTTCTTTTGCTCTTTTCACCCATTCAAACGTTTTAATATGGAAATTGTATGTACTTTGAGAACTCACCCAAAGCAATGAAGCTGCAACAAAAGACGAAAACATTTTTATATTTATGTTAGTCATTCTTACATCCTTGAGTATCAAATCATTATATTCGTAACTTTTCATAAAGCTCAATGCTTTTTTGAACGACTCGTTATCACTTAGAATCTCAGCCAAATAAGACTTCATTGCTGAAAAGCATTTTTCGATAGAGTTTAATTGAGGTGAATATGGTACTAAATAAGTTACATATATTCCGTACTCTTGACACACCGATATCATATCCTTCTTGTGGATTGATGCGTTATCAATTACAAAGTGTATAAAAACTGGACCATACCACTTTATTAATTGTGGAATAAAAACTTCTTTGACGCTGTTGATGAAAATGACATTGGAGCTTTTACTACTAATACGAAACACCAAATTTTTACCCGGTACCACCATGGCAAACGTGGTTAAATTTGGCTCTCTTATGTTTTTGGATTAACACTACAACATTGACCTATAAACTAATAACCCTGTCTTCTCGTGTGGTTAAAGTTGACTCCAACTTCGTCTATATATGCATAAACGAATTGGAAATAATTCAAATATTCGATATGATCAGCATACATTTTTCTTTGTTCAATCCGAACTTTGATGTTTCGATTAAATTGTTCTTTTTTGACTAGTTTCAGTGTCACTCCTAGTCTCTTTAATATTCTGTGTACACCACTTAAACTGACTTTTTTCTGTTTCAACATCTCTTTGATTTCATGTTCATCTCTCATTAAATAAGATTCGTACCGAGCTATAGCTTCCATCCATTCATCTCATTTTTCGTTTACATGTTTTGTTATCAATTTTAAGGTTGTGAGTTTGTTCGCGCTTATTTCTTCGAGTATCATTGTTATTGTATTATAATCAAATTTGTAATTGTGCCCCGATTTCCTCCCTCTTTTGTTACCAGTCAGAGACACTCCATTTTTAACCCTTTCAATGATATTGTGGATGGTTGAAGGAGGCAATTTGAATTGTTTGGCAGTTCTATTATAATTTTTACAATCAGAATAATAAATATATATTTGTGAATACAAGTCGTTTTTTCTTTCATTGTAATATTTTTTTTTCTTTTGAGGTTCAATTGAGTAGATGAAACAATTTGTCTAGGAAACAATACTTCATGAATATCATCTTCTTCGTAGTATTGTTTAGATATTTCTTTCATCCTGGCATTGTACATTTCAAAGTGTTGATCAATATGTTTTGATGCTAAAAATGCATTTCTGATAAATGTGGGATCTTTTTCATTTGGATTTTCGAAATATTTAGTTTCATTTGTGATTTCTGGTTCCGTTTCAAAGAAAGTTGGTTTTGGAGGAACTTTACAAATGTTAAATGGTGTGGCTTGAGCTCCAAAAGAAAAGTTTAATTGGAGATCCATTGATAAGCCTTTTCTACATTCCATTGTTAATGGGAATGCCCAATCAATTTTTTATTTGATTTTTAAGTTAATAAAATTTTGAATAATTCTAAAGTTTATATTTCAATATATTATATGTTTATTATCTTTTTATAGGGTTTTATTTTTAAATTATTTTTATAACAATTTTGAAAAACAAATTTCATCAAAAATGATCAATACAATAATAATTCCCATAAGTGTTTGAAATACATCATTTTTACTATTAATAGATGTGTAGAATATTTTATTCATTTTTTAAATCAAAAAGGAATACTCTATTTGTTTAACTGTTTCATTGTTAAATTAGTCATGACTCAAATAAAAATATTAGAAAAAGTCGTGATTTATAATGTGAAATATGGTTCTTTTATAACAAATAAAATCAATTTTTATGTTTTCAGAATAACATTAATTGCTTTATTTAAGAAATGTTTTCATTTTTTTTCTTTCAAAGAGTTTTCGAAATTTTTATATTTCCATCATTATAAAAAACGATATTTTTCAATAAATTCAAAAAATGTATAAAAAAGTTAAAGAAACAAAATAAATTAAATAATTATAAAAAATTTTTTAATTGTTATTTTGAAAAAGAATAATTTTATCGACAAGTCACACTGTTATAGATAATATCGACTTAACAAACTAGAAATTATGGGAATAAAAGAAGTTTAAGAAGAGAACTTAAATCACATAAAATGAGTGTGAAAGTGATATTGGTGCGTGAGAGTGAGAAACGACGAGTGAAAACAATAGACTGTGCTTCAATCCCAAAGGACCAACAAAATGATTTTATATTGAAAGAAGTTGGTATAGTCAATGAGGATGAGTACATTATTAATTGGCAAGAAAAGGAAGTAATAATTGAGATGAAACCAAAAGTACGTGCCAAGATGTATGTCCAGCGATTCAAAACTGTTATCGAAAATGATGAAAAGAAGAATTTAATAAAAGAGCTTGCTTTTGCAATGAAAGACAAAGAGGTTGGAGAAAACATTTGCAAATTTGGAATTGATTATTTGATGGATCTTCTCTATGACCAAATAGAAACACAGTACGGACTAATAACCCTAAGAATATCGATGAGTAGAGACGCTGTGTTCAGTCGAGTTGTTGACGATCAAAAATTCATCACGAAATTGTACTCTTTAATCGAACGAGATGATGTCACTATTAAATGGCAAGCAACTGAAATTATAGCTATTATAGTGACTTTTGGAGGGATTGATATCATCAGAAAAGCAGCCAAAGAGTATGCTCGACACCACGGAGAGCAGACTTTTGAGATATTAATAAAGATGATGTCCGACAAAGAGAATGAAGAAACGGCACTCTTAGGGGCACTTGTAGTCGGCTCGCTCTTAGTCGGAAGTACTGTAGATAAGAAGAAGTCGATAGTGAAGAAGATGGAGAATGTCCACCTCAGTAAAACAGTTGAACAAATGGTCGCCAATTTTCCGTCTTCTGAAAAGATCAAAATGCAGGCGATGACGGTGCAGAACAACACGTACTACACGCAAAAGGTGAAACAAGAGAAAGTCAAAAAAGAGTACTTTTCGACGTCGAAAATACTCGAAGAGGTAACAGCCGAGCGCGATAAAATTCGGACTGAAGTGATGGAAACAGAGAACGAAATATTTTCTGTGAAGAGCGAAACAGAGTCGACAAAGGGCGATGTCTTAGTCTGTGAGAATGAACTCGCCTTCTTAAAACAGTCACTTGAAAAGAAGAAAAAGGAATACGAGGAATTACTTTCTTCACTTCCCCAAGACGTCTTCCAGAAGAGCGATCAAGACCTTCGAGCACTTGCTTTGGACTTGAGGCGCAAACGAGATAAACTGCGGTTTGACGTGCAAGAGATGGAGAAACGGAGAAGTCAAATATCTGAGTCGAAAGAGGAGATGGCGTACAAGGATATGATCGTTCAAATGCAAAAAGACTCGAAACAGGGTTTCATCAAAAAGGAGAATAAAAAGAAAAACATTCGAACGGCTCCACTGCCGTGGCATAAAGTGATCACGATGCAAAGGGGAGCGGACACTACTGTGTGGGACGAAATTGACGAATTTGATATCACGGAGAGAGATACTGAGGGGCTTATACATAACTTTGACTTCAATGAAAGCATCGAAGACAATGACCCGAGTCAAGTCCCTTACCCTTTGAATAAATATTTGTTGTTCTCTTTACTGAAATTGCACTTACCCCCGAACAGAATGTTGATTCAAAAGATCCAAAATTTGGACACGACGTTACCTATAGAAGACGTGAAAACACTCATTCAGTGCTTACCAACGACTGGTGAAGCGAATATTATTAAGGGATCGAAAGGGATTGACGTGACTTCCGTCATTGCTATCCAACTATGTAATGAACCATTTCTGATCACTAAGTTACAAATTTGGTTGGAACTCAGAAATATAACTGACGATATTGATAAAGCTACGACTATTATGACGACTATAGCAGACTGTTTGAACACTTTACAGAGCTCCAGCGAACTGCTGGAGCTACTCAGAATCTGTTTGAACTTTGGAAATATCTTGAACGCGAAAAGCCCGAGTCGGGCGAATGCACAGGCGTTTTCACTGGAAGCGTTGCTGCTTTTGAAAGATGTTCCAGGGACGTTGCAGAATGGGTTGAAGTATGTTTTAGGGCACGTTGATCCTCGCATCTTATTGGAACAAATTGCGATATGTCGCGATGCCGTTTTTGATACGGAAGATGCGATTAAAATACTCTCGAATGTGAAGGACAAGTTGAAACCACTGGAAGAAAAGATGGTCGACCTTGAAAAGGTGTGCAACGACTTGTGCTCGACGAACTTGAAGACGTCATTTGACTCACTCACTGTTGCTGTTTCTAATGCGTTTAAAGTGTCTGACAGACTAAACTCACTTGTGAATGCAATTGCAGACTGGTTTGGGATGGATTATACATCTTCATTCTTTAAAATCTTCTCTGAGTTTGTTAGAGACTTAAGCGCAGTGCTGGAGTTTGTTTTTTACTATTTATCCTAATAAGAAAACTTAATTTATAGTTCGCACGAATTTGAAAATTTGATGGATTTGGAAATGACACCTTTGCCACAAACAAGTGACCCGGTCGATAGCTTTGTGAATAATATCATTAACGGAACAACACTACCAACACCTTTTCATTTTGTGTATTAACTCACTCTCTACTGATTTTTAAAGGAATTGAATATTAAAACAAAAGACCGTTTTTTTAATTAAAAGTCGACTCAATTTTCGTGTTCATAACAGAGAAATTGGTATTATCTGATTTGTTTTACTTGATCATAAAAATAGACCAGAAGAATCAATTTTATTTTCTTTTAGTTCGACAATGATAAGTTATATAACATTGCCCATTTTTTAGTACAAAAAAAGAGGACCAAAATAGAACAACAACTTGTTTTTGAAGGTGTTGAAAATCTAAATCCAGTTTTTTCATCCCGATAAGACCGGTGATCTACCCAATCAACTCTTCACATAATAATTCATTAAGAATTAAATATGAAAAAAAATATAAGGAATATGGTTCAACGAATCTTTTGAAAAACAAACAAAAAACAATTTTGAGTTGTGCCGAGTTCTTCACTACAAAATTAATCCATGCGCAACTCGCTCGTGCTGGCCGACACTAAAAAAGACAAACGGTCGGTGACATCGTTCCGTCTGACCGACGCATTTTCAAGAAAGTCGCAAACCCTTCGACACAGTGAGACCGCTAAAATCGAATTAACTCCAAAGCAAAAACTTCCCGAGTACCCCCCATTGTTTGGGGGATCCATTGACAATTTATTACCTTCACAACTTGGCTTCAAAGGTGTCCCCCTTGTTGTTGAAGATTGTATCCATCATATAGAAACGCTTTTTCTCTCCTCACAAAAACGTATTGATAAATGGGACAACAAAACACTCAACAAATTTCTCTGTAAAAATAGCTGTCCGACCCTTCCTGAAATCACAGGGGAAACTGCACTGCTGTTAACACAAGAGAAACTGGAGGATATGAAAATCAAAGAAGAGGACGCTAAGATGATCTTGGCGTTAATTCAAAAGGAAAGAACGAAACTGACGACACTGAATGACATTGTGGAGAACAAAATGCCGTGTGTACAAGACTTGAGAATAGTATCAGACGTCATCAAAAAGATGAACGACGCGAGAGAAGTCAATCTCTATAAAAGATCATCACTTATAGTCTCGATGCACTTACTAAGAACCTTTTTCATTACACTCGACCCCCCACTCATCCCCCTCTCCGTCTGTAAAAAACTCGAAGACTTATTTTCGACGTCCGACGCGTCGAAGCAGAAAAGCGTCTCACAATTACAACAAGAGTTTACTAACTTGTTGTCACAAGTCCTTTCCCAACGAGCGTACGCGACTTTTGAGGCGATGTGCTCATTCTTCCAAATCATTGGAAACCACCCCAAAAGTGGAGCCCTCGACGCATTCACTGAAATTGTCGTCTTCTTCTTTCAAAGTTTCAACCCAAATTACACGTTCAATCAAGGCTGTTTGGACTTGTTACCGATCTTTTTGGGACTCACTATGGACGACTCAGACCCAAACTTCTTCCAACAGAAATTCTCGTTGGAGGACGAGAACAGATACGACGGCGAAGTCGTCGCAGCGTACGCTTATAGTGTGATGTGTCCGTACTTCTTCTTCCCTCCCGCGAGTTTCGATGAGATCACAACGGCTGGGTGGTTCAATGGCAATGCGTTTGTGACGAATTATCGGGTTGTTCTTGCGTGCGACCAAGTCTCGCTCGACTCGATATTGTTTGACTGTTGTTTTACACAAGTCCCTTTGTGTGATATCAACACGATGAAAATCACTAAAGAGACGGTAGAAGGAAAAGTTTATTATGTGTTGCGCATTGCTACAAAAGACTTCAGAAATATCACATTTTTCTCATTAACAAATTACAGCGACGAGTTCATTGCGGCACTCAACTGTAGAACGATGTTCTTTAATGTCTCGACGGAGCTGGACAAGTTTGAGTTGTTGGGAATACAAAGCGTCTCTGTGAGGAAATTAATGAACGACGATTTAAAACGACAAGGAAGAAGAGAGGCAACGTCCCGCGAATTAATTGATGTGTGGAAGAACCCGAACACGAACGTCGAACTGAAAGTGTGCCAAAGTGGACTGTACGATGGGCAAGTCTATGAAGTGAAAATGCCCACCACACCTATTAGTGAAATTATCGATCTGATTCAAGACGACATCGAGAAAAATAATGACCAACTGTATTTTAAAATGACACAATTTGCGTCTGAGATCCTCGACCCTGCGAAAGAAGTCATCAAATTGTTACTCACAAAAAGTGTGATACTCTCTGTGAACAGTTTGAATGAATTTAAAGCACTTTTGGGATTGATTGCGTTGGGAGCAGACTCTTATTATCTGTCACTTGAAGGGTTTCTAGTCCTCTACAGAACATATTTCAAATTCACAGATACACAACAACGAATGATATTCTTGTGGATGGTCTGGTTGGTCATGAATCAACACACCACAGTCTTCGGGTTCAACGCAAGTTTACTCAAATTCTTGTTTTACACAATCCACTCGTTTCGGTTCAACGACGAACTGTTGCAGCAATTTGTCACTCTCAACAAAAGTGTATTTGCGTCACTCGGTAAAATGAAATTCGCGATCTTCTCGGACGTCATCCCACGCCCAGCAGAGTTGTTCTTCCAACACCCCAATTTACGTTGTATTCCTAAAATGAACCAACAAATCGTCTCAATGAAAAACACAACAGCGTCAACCGTCCCACCTTTCACTCCAACAACAATCCAAACCCTTGACGCAGAGAATAACAGGTTTCTTGACATCCCCAATACCGTCTTAACTTGTGTTAAGTTGGTTACAATGAAGTTACAAAACAACAAGATCTACGTGTTGTCGGACGGCATCGCGAATTTCCAGAATTTGACGTACTTGGACTTGTCGAATAATTTACTCAAAACATTCCCATTACTCGGAAGAGTCAAATTAAGGTATTTGGATATATCAAATAACCCACTGACATCTCTCGGATTCTTACCAACAACACTGACTACACTCAATATGAGAAACTTGAGTAAAATGCCGGATCTGTCACAACACTCATTGGTCACGTTAGACTGTAATGGGACATCTGCCATCTCCACTAAAACTTTATTCAAAAACCTTCCAATAACACTGAAAGTGTTAGACATTGGTGGGAGAGACATGTTATCCCTCCCTTTCAAACTGTCCAGACTTGTCAATCTCACGAAGTTAAACATTTCGAATAACAAAATATCATCGTTGCACCCGTCCTTCTTCGAAATGGGAATCAAAGACTTGAACATCGAGCAAAACTCTTTCAAAATTCTTCCACCAACATTTAAGAAGATGAAAGTTGAGAACTTGATTAAAGATACGTTCGTCCCTGATAGAAAACAAGGCGAAAAAAGAGTCGTTATAATCGACAATTCAACGGAATTGTTCAACGCACTTATTCGAGTCTTCAAACAAACAAATTTGAATATCAGAGAGGACGCACACTCTGCCAAAATTACTATGAGACAAGACAAAGTCGTTGATATTAGAGTGATATCATTGGATACCATAGAGACACAACCCTATTTAGGGATTGACGCTCTCTATATCATACACTCGCACGACGAAATTTCATTCAGAATTATCGACTTGTGTCAGTACACATCGACAAGAAATTACATTGTCGTTGCAGACAAAAAAATCGACGAAAACGCACTTGTTTTGGACGAGACTTTTGCAACACTCAAATCCGTCTGTAAGAAGCTGAGAACAGCGATTGATGAGTTCTCGAAAGAAGATCTCCCAGCACAATGCTTCCAAGTGTTACGCGCTTTACAGGCGTATGACTTGTCACCGGCAGTGATGTCGCCACAGTTGTTCAAAGAAGTTTGTGACAACGTTGGGTTGACTGAGAGTGAAGTGAATAAAGCAGTCCGCCAGCTAACTGAGCGAAGACTGATCCATCGCAATGTCATAGAGAATTTGGTTTCATCGAGGAAGTCCAAATTCATACGACCGGGGGTGATTGCAGTCAGAATGACTTATTCGTCCTTCTTCAGTAACAAAAGTGAGTACTCTTTGGTCGACACAAAACACAATTTCCACATCGCGTCGTCACTTTCTATTCAAAACAAAGGAGTGTTCACTGCACGCGCATTACAGTGTTGTAAGATGCACGGACTTAAAGATGAGAAAACACTTCAATACATTACTTCGATACTTGAGGAGTATTCTATAGTGTTAATCGTCAGAGAGGAGTTGAGTGATGTATTAAATAAGAAGGACAAATACACTGCCTTACTCGAACAAGCAAGGAAAATGACATTAGTATCCACTGATGTGAGTAAAGTGGGTGATGCCACGATTTTGGTGTCTCTTGTTGGTGTTCCTTTTATGGGCGAGTGGAACAAGAAGAGTCGAAGTGTTGTGACGAAGCGCGAGTATCTCTTTAACAAATTTCCATTGCAACTTGAAATGTGTTTAATAGGAGGTGTTGCATTAGAATATGGTATTCCAGTCGTTGTGTGGAAAAAGGGGGTCATCTTTGAAATTGGTTCCATCGACTTGAAATTGGAGTTTGAGCGGAATAAGTTGGTCATTTCTGTTCGACATGGGATGGAGAGTATGCGGGATATTGTTCGCGCTGGGGACATCTATGAAAATTTGACACACACCATCCAAGCAATCGTCTCGAATTACTTCCCAACAGTCACGTTCAGTATGCAAGTGTTGTGTATGTTGTGTGATAAACATAGTTTGAGTGTCGATGAAGTGCAAGACAAGATCACATTAGGGCAACTGGATTACTATGAGAAAGACCACGAATACAACTTCTTGTTGACATCAATGGATTTGTATATGAAGACTCTTGGGAATGAATCCAAGGAGAGACTATGGGGAAGGAAATAGGGAATGGGTCTCTTTCAAAGATCTTCTTTAGTTCGACGGGGTAAGTTGTTTAAGTTGTGAAGAATGATATGGGGGATGATGACCATTTGAGAAGCCAAAAAGATGTCATTCATCGGAGGAA